TCCCACCTGGGAATGGATCCTGTCTTTGTCCAGAATATCCACACTGTATACTCTCCTCACCCCCCATTATTCACTTAGTAGCTGTCTGAGTTATCAGATCAACTGTCACTCTATCACAGTGGTGTTCAAGTAACCCTTATTTTACTTTTATTACAGTATATTGTTGTAATTATTCTATTTTGTAATTAACTAGAGGCCTGGTGCACATATTTGTGCACTGGTGGCGTCCCTTGGCCTGGCCTGCACCCTTCCACAATCCGGGACCCTAAGGGGATGTTGGCCTGCCAGTTTCAGCCGGATCCCACAGGCAGGACAAGGGACCCTGCCGATGCACAAATTCAACTGTTGGTCCATACATTTTTTGTCAAACTATTGCTATTCATGTGATAGAAAATGCTCAGTAGCCCTGGCCAGTTTTCCTCAGTGGTTAGAGCGTGGCCCTGGCCACCAAAAATCGCTACTTCAGCTGCAGTTTCCCCAGCCCCAGTAGGGGCGTGTGCCGGAGGCAACCAATCAATGTGGCTCTCTCATCTCAACGTTTATCTTTTTCTATCTCCTCCTCCTCCCTCTCTCCCACTCTCTCTAGGAATCATTGGAAAAAAATATCCTGGGGTGAGGATTAAAAATAAATAAAAGAAAATGGTCAGTAGCTTAGGAAATGCTCATTGCAGATTGACAAGAAGAAATGTTATTCTGTAATGGCTTAGGCTATGACATCTTACATGTTCTGAATACTATCTATGAAAATCTTACTAGTGATATCTAGAAATTCCATAGGAATTTCCTGGCTTTCAGGTACCTCAAGAATCAAGTTGGTTTTTGTTTTTGTTTTTTTAAAGACTTTTTTTTTTTTTTGCTAATAATAACAGCAGCTAATCCATTTGTTCAATTGACTTCCCAAGGTCAGACTCAGCAATAGTAAGTTTTAGAAGAGTCAGATTTTCAAACCTACAGAGCCCACAGTGTGGCCAGCACCCTGCACAGCAGCAGAGCGAGCAGCACAAAGTGAGGCAGATCCTCCCGGTCAGCACTGAAACACACCAGCCTGGCCCCGTGTGTAATTCCTCTTCCTCCTGAGTACCCGGGGTGACCACTCAGGTCTCTCTGTTCTTTGGCTTGTTCATTGTGTTCATAGAAATATCCCAGAACATGGTCTCAGTCATTAATTTTTCTGACCCCTATGGATATATCGTTGTCCTCTGTTCCAGGTTTCTGTCCTTCCTAAGAAAATTGTGTTTTGTGACTAGGCCTCGTGCAGCCTAAGTTGATCTTGCTGTTGTGCAAGAAAACCACAGTGCTCTGTGCGATTTAAAACATGAGTAACTGTGTTTCATGTACGTTTTCTGTTCCATGGTCTAGCATAGTGCTGAGTCACTGTAGTTCCGCGCACCATATGCTGAAGCACAGGCTGTGCAGGCAGGAGGCATGCTGATTAGACTGCAGCCCACTCAGCTCTGGCAGTACCAGAGCGCACAGCCGGCGCCCACCATTCTCTCTCTGGCCTTAGACTCTTACTCCGATGACCTCATGTAGAGGGATTTGTGGGTTAGGAACCAAAAGGTTCCAAGGCAAAACGTAGCGCCAGGGTAATCCTGTGCCACTAATAAAGCAATGAAAGCCCTCATAATTTTCTTTTTATATTTGCCGACATTATATGAAGGTAGAAGACTAGCGAAAGAAAAAAGTTATCATTATCATCCTTTGTATATCAGCATCTGTTTAGGATCTTCATCCAAGATTTCAAGAATATGTTTATAAGTTCATTTTCCTTTTTCTCCTTGCTGCTGATTTTATGCATAGGAAAGGGTTATATTTTTCTATTTTTTGTCTTCTGTACATATAGTTGAGTCAGAATTTTTCGAAACTTCTGATAGGGTTATTTCTCACATTCTCAACACTGAACATATTACACCTAGGAAAACACTAACCACCTTTGTGGCCTCCTGCCCTCCTAATAGAGAGAGACAGTTCCAAGGTTTCTCTTTACTTTCTTCGACCTAATTCCCATTGTTTGTCTGAATACTGCATTGCCAAAACTGACTGCTGCTCTGCTGCCCACTTGGCCTGATCCCAGATCACTCATTTTGTAATCATCCCTAAGTGATTCATGGTTTAGAGTAAGTGGAAAATTTCAAGATTGTAGGAAGTATATGTGCATATTCTAGCAGGAATTTTAACTTAGGAAAATTTGAAGTTGGGAAGGGATTACTGTCCTTGACCTTTGGGCATGGGAACCAGAGAACATCCTGAACATTTCATTAAAGATTATACTCAAGATTGAGCTACAGGGAAACCAACAGTAGCAAAACAATTTTTTTTTAAAAATATATTTTATTGATTTTGTACAGAGAGGAAGGGATAGAGATAGAGAGTTAGAAACATTGATGAGTTGCCTCTTGCACACCCCCTACTGGGGATATGCCCGCAACCAAGGTACATGCCCTTGACTGGAATCGAACCCGGGTCCCTTCAGTCCCCAAGCCGACGCTCTATCCATTGAGCTAAACCGGTCCCGGCAGTAGCAAAACAATTTTAATAGCATCATAAATGAGCCTCACCATTGGGTCTTAAAGCTGATTAGATATCTTAAGATTTTTGCCCATTTTTCAGTCTAATGGAAGTTGTACTTGAATTATTTGTCTATGAAATAAACATCTACATTCTGTCCTGGCCTTTTCTCTGCTTACAGGAATCTCCTTAGATTGTCTTTCTTCAATCCCCACTCATTTGATTTTATATTTAGTTAGACAAAAGTAGGTTTACAGTTTGTATGGAAAAGAATACATTAATGAATAAACAATATAAGGATAAACTCGTGTGTGTCACATACTCACAACTGTAAACCTTTTGTCCACCCTATGTTGGCTCGTATTGTTTCTCGTGTATTTGATGAATGGCAAGGCGATGGAAGAGCCAGGAGCAGAGTGGTGAATGGGAGAGAAGTAGGGATGAGCTCCGCAGAGTGAGGACAGGTCATCTAAGGTCCTGTCGGTCAGCAGTTCTGAAAAACCAGGTGCATACACATCACCTGGGAACCTTGTGACAAGGCAGATTCATAGATGGGAGTTTGGTCCTGCAATTTACATTTCTAACAAATTGCCAGTTGATGTCAATATTGTAGTCCCTTTAAAAAAGCAATATTACAGGCAGTTGTAGAGTTTGGCTTTATTCTGAGTGACACAGGGAGCCATTGGAGAGGATGTAGCAGAAGAGTGTCATGTTCTGACTTACATTTGAACATGATCAGCCATAAATATTAATAATATATTAAGTCTATAATTCCTTGTCCAAAACCCTGGGTAACAGATGTGTGTTACAATTCAGAATATTTCAGATTTTAGAAAGGTAATATATTTCTCAAATATAGAGGATATTTTATAACAACCCAGTAGTCGGAGACATCACTCTAATCACACATTAATATTTCTGCAATGAAACAAATGAACAATTACTCTCTGAGGGGTAAAGTGAAACTGTAAATAGTCTCATATTCGTTCAGGTTGAGCTTTCTGTTATCAAATGAGTTATAAAGAATTTAAAAATACTGTCAGATTTTGATCAGACCAAAGTTTGCTGCAAAATGAATTATTAAAGTACTTTCATTTTGTAAAGCATTTGGATTTTAAAATTAGGGAAAGGTAGGCCTTTGTTATTATTATACTTTCAGTTAGCTGCTCCTCATTCCTCAGACTGCCAGAAGATCTTTCAGACAAATACGTTCCTGTTCCTTACCATGTGCATTTTAGGCCTTGTCGAATGCAAATGTCAGCGAGAGACCACAACCCCAGTTCTTTGGTGCCCTGGGCTCTGCTTTCAAAGGAGGAAAATATATAGGTACCTATCAATTTGGAACATGAGTTCTCATTTCCAGAGAGTTTTTGCATCTTGGCAGCCTACACTGTCATGTGTGCAGACAAAGCACAGTTAATTAAAACATGCTGAGCATTTTATTATACCTTGGGACAGTTAGCATGTGCTTAGAATTATCCAACTGTGCTCATTTGTGGTTGATACAGTATTACTTCTCTCACTCTGCTTTCTTTCCTACAGCTGTGAGCTGCCTTATTCCACATTTGGTTCCACATTTTGTAATCTAAAGCAAACATCTCTGTGTTCTTCAGAATCTACTTTTGTTTTTAAGTGATTGATTGGTTTTCCCAGAAAAGTCCAGTTTAAAAGAAGTGCCTTGGGAAATTATAGTGACAAGATGAAGAAGGTTGTGATCTTTCCCATCTCAGTGAGCTGTGATGTCAAAGCACTGTTCTCCCCGGGGAACTGGTTCCAGGATCCTCCCTGCCCCTACAGATGCCAAAATCTGGGCATCCTCAATTTCCTGCTGAAAATGGCATAAGATTTTCATATAACTGTGCACATCCTCCCATATACATTAAATCATCTCTAGATTACAATGTAATACAATGTAAATGCGATGTAAATAGTTGTTACACTGTATTGTTTAGGGCATAATGACAAGAAAAAAGTCTGGACATATTTAGTGCAGAGCAACTATCTTAGGCCTAACTACATGCCAGCAGCAATAACATTTAAAAGGTATTCTAGATCCACAGTTGGTTGAATGTACAGATGCAGAGCCCACAGATACACAGAGCCAATGATATCTCTCTTTCCCCCAGGGAGTTTCATTTAAGAGCTAGTATATCCTATTTTCTAGGCATCTGTCCTTTTGATAAAGCTTGAAAACACTGATGTAAGGCAGGGCTTTAAAAGGTTGCTGTTTTAATGCTTGCTGACAAAATGGTATAACTACTTACATCATTGGAAAATCCCAACTATTCTGTATCAAAAATAATGTGCATTCTAATAAACACATTCTATTGCATATTCCTAAGCCTGAGAATATGGTGATAGATTCCTTTGCCAAGGGCAAGGATCCAAGTGAATCACTGCTACAAAACTGTGTTGGTATGGGAAATTCATGGGTTAGGAATAATGTCTCCCAGAGGATGAATAATAACAAGGAGAAAGACACTGTTTGCAACTTCTCTTTTAAGAACAAAGAGGTATGATCTATACTGTGTCTACTGAAGGAGGTGAGAGCATTGCTAACAACTCAGTTATAGTTTTTAGGTAACTGAGTAGGAAGACCCCCAATAAAGTATTGTTTTAGTTGATTATTTTTCAGAACTCATATTTATAAAAAGTAAAAGTTCCATATGATTACATATTTTATATCTGTATTTTCAAGTGCTCTGGATGATTAAAAGTCTGAATTGCTGGATCTGGAAACAGTATCCACCATATATATACCGTGTGAGTGTGTGTGTGTGTGTGTGTGTGTGTGTGTGTGTGTGTGTGAGAGAGAGAGAGGGAGAGAGAGAGAGAGAGAGAGAGAGAGAGAGAGAGAGAGAGATAGAGATAGATGAGGTGTATATACCACATGGTATATTTTTTCAAGAATGAAGTATAAGGGCTTCATAAAAAATTAATTTATTGCAGTTTAATTTTAGACATGTGAGATGCAGAGCAATCAACTGCCATTTTTGTGTTTGTGTGTTCTGTGTTTTGTGGTAGAGGGTCTTAGAAAATGCACCATGTTATTAAAGATGATTTTTTTTTTTTTTTACTTACGGTAACAAAGTCCAAATGGGAACTGTTGAGAAATGTTGAGATGTTATTGAGAGACTTCGCAGGCGCTAAATCTCTTCAGGAAGATCTGTTAGAAAACATGTGGTTAAATGAGCCTCTCTGAGGACTTTATATTAATATGCCAACATATTAGGATAAATATTATCATAAATTATCAAATCCTTTAAAGAAAAAGCCTCATATATGACTTGCCTAACAGTGTTTCCCAAACTTTTGACATATGTGTACCCCTTCTATAATTTTCGTAACGCTGAGTACCCCTCATACTCATGAGAACGTAGAATCAGGCGCAGCTAAGCACCGTGCAGTGCATATCCCCACCAAACTCCGGTGCAACTCGTACCCCCACCAAACTCTTCCCATACCCCTGCGGGTACGTGTACCACACTTTGGGAAACACTGGAGAAGAAGAAATGGTATATTGGATAAGACTGTCACCAGAAACTTTGCAGGCTTGTAAGGATTGGCATGAAATATCCAAAGTGATGAAAAGCAAGGACCTACAACCAAGATTACTCTACCCAATAAAGCTATCACTTAAAATTGAAGGACAGGTAAAGAGTTTTCTAGAAAGAACAAGTTGAAGGAGTTCATTACCATCAACCAGTATTACAAGAAATGTTAAAGGGCCTTTAAGAAAAAAGAAGAAAAATATATGAATAATAAATGGCCATAAAAATAAAATTTTATTATTTACAACAGGAATGGACCTAAAGGATATTATCGTAAGTGAGATAATGCAGTCAGAGAAAGAGAAATACCATAGGAGTTCACTTATAGGTAGAGTCAAAGAACAATATTATAAAAACAAACAAAATAGACTCTTAGAGAAAACAGGCTGATAGTTGTCAGAGGCGGGAGAGTGCTTGGGGAAACTGGGTGGAAAAGGTGAAGGGATTGAGAAGTATAAATTGGTAGCTACGAAATTGTCATGGGAATGTAAAGTACAGCACGGAGAATATAGTCAGTAATATTATAAATATGTATGGTGCTAGTTGGGTACTGGAAAATATCAGAGAGAACATTTTGGAAAGTATATGATTGTCTAACCACTATGCTGTACACCTGAAGCTAATACAAAATTATATTGAATGTAAACTATAATTAAGAAAATTTAAAAAATACTTTTTTAAGAAAAGAAAGAGTAGATTGGAAAATGACAACCCTTACCTTTGAACAGAGTTGAGTGACTTAAGTTCCTGTGTATAGTTTTTTGTTTCTAAGAATACAGTGAAAATATTTGAATAAGCAGAAGGGTTTTGTTTGTGTAGTCTGCTTGCTGGGTCTGCCAACTTGGTTAGAGGAAACATTGCTTAGGTCTTTAATAAAGGCTAAGCTTGAGTTTTAAAAAGCAGAGGTTTCCAAGTTTGGTCCACAATACATTTAGGAGGTTTTTTTGGCTTCGGCTATGGGTCTGTGGTGAATAGTTGAGCACTGCATTTGCAAAATATTTGTTCTTGGAGCTCTTTGAAGGAGTTACATGTGAGCACTGTAGTTGCACAGTCTCAGAAGTTTTTCCCATATACTAACAGTTCTGGGTCATTATTCTCCAACGAATAAAAAACAATTATCTTTGGTTTTAAAAATAGTTTATTTCTGTCAGAATTGTATCATGACACATCAGTTTTCAACTTGGAACAATTTTAAATGACTTTGTTACATCCAAGGATGAATTTTATTGACCTGATTTGGCCATGACTTTGCAGAGTGAATTTTAATTATTTTAGTTGAAATGCTTACTTTCCACGTTTTGGATCATTTTCTAGGAAAGAAGTTTAGTGAGGGTATGAGGTATCTAGAAACCTAGTAAAGCTGTTTTTAATTGTTTCATCCTTACTTTAGCATTGCATATGTTATTATGAGCATTGGATTTTTAAAATTCTTTCTTTATTTATTTTTTTGCTGTGAATTTTTATTTTCCAAGAAATATATTTCTTTTAGAGTAAAAAGTCAGTTTGTTCTCTTGTGACTCTTTCAAATATTAACAATAGTAATTGCTTGGTACTTAGTATGAATGTTATGCCCTTGTTCTTTTAAGGGATTACTCTGTAGTAAAATAGAGTTTTGTGGTCACAAGCATCTCATTATTGTGGCATGCCAGATTTGGTATAGAAACAGAAAAGCAACAGGTGGGGATTAATCATTAATGCTTTGCATTTTCTGATGAAAGCAGGACAGGGAACCTCTTGACGGTTGGTTGGAAGGCAAGTCTTCATTTGAAGGGAAGAAATGCTCTTTCTGTCAATAAGTGCCATTCTTTTTACTGGAATAAAAATGATTAATTTAAAAATCAGAGGCGATCTGAAACAAACATGCTGTAAAACATTAATCACACACTTTTTTAGTGTTCCTGGGTCCAAACCATATTTAAAATATAGCCTAGCCCTTTTTGAGAAAATTCACGATAGTGTTAAAAAGTTATAAAAGCCTTTTTGGTTTTAGCCTAAAACAATAGCTTAAATTTGAGTTTAGGCTTTTCTAGAATGAAATATTTATTTTTTAAATGTAAAGTTAAGCAGTTTTAAACTTTACCAGAATATTGTTCTAAACCAAAAAATTTATAAGACATAACCATATAATGATACACAAAACTATGAAAACAAGAAACTTCTTTTGTTTTGAAAGGTCAGTCATTTTTCAGTGACATCCATAGATAAGCTGGTTGTAAACAGGTTCTAACTGGAGAGAGCAGGCATAAAATGTTTTAGGTTAATCTAAAAATTTGGAGCATTGGGTTACTTATACAAACATTTAATCTTGTCAGTTAATAATTGAACACTTTGAGTACCTCCCAAATAGCCTTAATATTATAAATTATATACTAGCAAAGATATTATTTTAGATGTTTTATTAATGTTTTTAAAATGTATAGATAAATGTATAGATAAATATCTTTAGATTTTTAATATTTAAAGGAAAAATGAATGCTCTAAAAATACTAATATTTAGACATAAGAGCAGCACAAAAGGAAATTATAGGCAAAAATTTTAATACCAAATCTTGTTTAAAATCTCTATCTTTGGATTTATACAAGCAAGAAAAATTGGAATCATTTTTTATAAAAACAAAATAGATTAAAGTAAGATTCCCTCGACTCTCAATTCTAACAATTAACCAAAAGTGAAAGAAATTTTAAGAAATTGATCTCTTTTCCATAATGAATGCTTGTCATTCAGCAGATTCATTTAGAACAGGGAGGAAAAAATGAAGATAGCTTTCAAAGACTTTAGAATAAGCATGTCAAACTCAAAGGCTAACATGGGCCAAATAAACGAGGCATGCGGCCCATGGGCTGCGAATTTGACATGCTTGATTTAGAAGATGGTACTTTATGATGTGCACATTTGCCACAAAGTTGTAGTTGATGTCTAAGTCTGGAAATATATCAGAATAATTATAACTTCCTGTGGGGTTTGTTAAATGAGATTTTTCATGTTTTTCTCTTCTTATACATAGTAGTTAATATACAACAAGCATGTCAAACTCAAAGGCTAACACGGGCCAAATAAATGAGGTATGTAGCTTGTAGGCCATGAGTTTGACATGCTTGATGTACACCTTTTGTTTAATAGTGTTTTCTCCTTAGTACAAATGTAATATATTCATTGTATAATTTTTTATAAACCTGTGTAGATATATAAGGAAAATATATATGATTCTTGATTTAATCCTCCAACAAATCTGTTACTGCTGTTCCCATTTTAGATATTTCTATTACATTTTATAAAGAAAGGTTGGTGTTCCTCTAAGAAAACCCTGTTTAGGACTAGATACATAATTCCCCAGAGACAGGACTATGTCTTTCTCAGTCACCTTCACCAAAGTCAAAGCAATCTGCAGGAGGCCCTCAGTGCTCATAGGTACAGGGTTTGCACAGAGTTTGCAGAGAGTTAGGGCCAACTACAGAGTTAGAGAGCCAGTCCCAAGACTTCTCTCACTTCTGACAGCAACTGCAAATTGGAGGGGTTTCCCCCAAAGCAACCTCGGTTTTGATAATTTGCTAAAAGAACTCACAGAACTCACTGAACACTTTTACACTGACAGTCGTGATTTATTACAAGGAATGGATGCAGACTGAAACCAGCCAAAGGAAGAAGCATGTAAGGCAGGGTCCAGGAGCAGTACAAAACTCGAAGCCTCCCTGTCTCTTCATGAAGTCAGGTGCATGTTTTGACCACATGGATGGAGTATATCATCTCTTTAAAATTGAATTTATCGGGGTGAAATTGATTAATAACTTTATATAAGTTTCAGGGTGAAAACTATGAAGGGATTAAGCAAAAAAAAAAAAATCCTCATACACAAACAATAGTATGGTTATTATCAGAGGGAAAGGGCTGTGGGTGGAGGCAGGAGAAGGTAAAGGGGAGAGAAATGGTGATGGAAGGAGTACAGCGGTCTGGTAGGGTTAACTTCGGGTGGTGAGCACACAATGCAGTATACAGCTGATGTGTTATAGAATTGTACCCGTGGAGTATTTCAAACCAAAGAAGCTCTCCCAAGCCTTGAGTTCAGAGTTTTTATTGGGGCTTTATTATGTATTCATGGTTGATTTCCCAAGTCGACTGATAACAAGTGATGCAAAGCCCCACTGGTTGCTCTCTGGCTAGCCTGAGGCCCATAGGCAAGTAAAATTACCTCTGAGGAGCAGAGGGTGAAACCAGACTCCATAGGATGATGTGCCGTTCTTTACTCCAGCCCCAGCCTGGTCCAGTGCCCTTCCCTCCCTGGCCACGCATGGTGTCTTCTACATGGAGGGTTAGGAGATGCCTGGTCACTGCAGCTTATGCGTTTGGACCCTGGAAAGGAAGCTGAGATGCACATGGAATATGGACAGTTGCCAAGGGAGGAGTGAATGTGCGTTCTGTTAATCCCTGAACCAGTTTAGGATAGCATTCATGTCATGAGTGAAATCGTGAAATGACTTGAATGCTCACATACAATTTTTTAGTATTTAAAATATATAATTGAATTTATTAAAATTTACTTAAGACAAATCCAATATAATTAAACTCCCCAAACACACACACACACACACACACACACACACACACACACACACACATACACACACTGCATTAAAACCATATTTCATTCTAACTTTTGGTCATTACTAAGCAGGTTCACCTGAGTTGGCAGTTTTCTTAAATAATTGCTCTTTTATATGTAGTAGTTAATCCTCATTATTCATGCTTCTGTATTTGCAAATTTGCTAGCTTTTATTATATTTGTAATTTTTAGATAAACACCTGTGACATTTTTGTGTTCGTTAGCCAATAATCACAGAGTGGCAAAATATTTGAGTTGCATGATCTGCATATTCCCAGCTGAGGTCCAACAAGGTGGCCCTCTGCCGTCTTTGTTTTAACTCTTACACTGTAAACAAGTGTCCTCTTCATAGTCTATTCAGTGTCACATTTTTTGAATTTTGTGGGTTTTTTATTGGTGATTTTGCTGTTCAAAAGATCCCCAAGCATAGTGTCAAAGTGTTGTCTGTGTTGTATCTTATTGAGAAAACACACGTTAGATAAACTTCATTGAGACATGAGTTTTAATGCTGGCTGTGAGTTCAATGTTAATCAATAGTATG